GAAGCGGATCTCTAATGTCTCTGATGATAAATCCGCGACGGATATCGAAACCTCAGACGAATAATCGTATTGTCCCAGCGATCGAGTCTTCTCAAATCCTCGTCAGTTAGAATAGGCGAAACATTTTTTCTTATAAATAACGCAGCAAAGGCACCTTGTCTAAACAGGGAACACACGCGTAGGTTCCTGCATGTAAGAACTAAACCTTACTAACTTAAATCCAACGCCGTCAGGAATTATCATAAGGCCAAAAGGACACAATTAGTCGCTCACACGTCATGTACTTCTGGCAAGTCCTAGCCACACCAACTGGAGGTGCGCAGTGACTGATGCGGATCATATGAAGTCAACGATCAGCGCGCGTGAGGTACGCGTAGATGAAGGGCCTAGATCGGACAGTTCGCTGTGCCCACGCTCATCCGCAGTCGCGTTGACCGCGCCTCACCAGTAGAGAAAAGGCGAAAGTTTAGTAGGCGCCTCGATCGTCTCTTTATAATCTGGATCATGTACGTTGGACCACTGATCCTTCTGAGCAGCGTTGACAATTGTCACTGTCAATATTTACACTATCGGTGTCGTCCGAGAAGTCGGTTTGTCAATTTATATAGGAAAGTTGAAGTGCTGAATTTATTCTTTGAATCGTTCACCCGTCATTATCAACACATTCGCCCATTCTAAATCAGTTGAGAAGCTATTTTCCCGGAAATAGAATATATGATGTTAGAATTAGGATTCTCTTTTTGTTATACTTTTGCATCCGGTTGGCAAAACGACCTGCTACTTTTATGGCACATGTTTGATTTAGTTATGCAAGTTCTCGGTCACTCTAACTTGGGCTTGGGGCATAACCGGTTGGTGACAGTCTTCAGGATTGTGTTAATTTTCAAAATTACGAAGACGTCGGGTCTGCCTATTTCTCACTCAAATCTTTGGTGGTATGCCTGTCTGGAAATGTGAGTTTCTGCATTCTGCTAACAAATTAGTATGCCTCATTCTACCGAAAGGGCGTTTCCTCCTCCATTTCGTCTCGTTTGCATCGAGTTTTTTTTCCAGACGACCACCCATCGCAACTACAAGGTAGTTGTCTGTGCGCGCAAAGGTTTCAGCTGTGAGTTTGACACGACGTTATTGTGCAAAAAGTACGCATATACATCTTCAAGTCAACGTACTACTTTTGACTTAATTCAGTAATCTGGACCCCCCGGGCAGGACAGGTTGGTTAAAGGTGCATTACCACCTTCTGAGCCGTCGTCCTGTAATTTATCTTTCAGATGCATGCCCCTCCCCCTACCTTCGCTTGAATATTGCAGTCTGATAGATCTGTTGCTTGCTTATCCTAAGCGGTATGGTACTTACTTGTACTTGTTACGGCTGTGATCATGCCTGATCTAGCC